CATGTCGACATCTTGTGTGTAGAGTGTCAGGGATATTCTCTGGAAACTATAGGAGGAGTTGATTTCACAAGCTTAGTACCCTCTGTAGGACGGACAGACGGACGGACGGACAAACAGAGAGACGGACGGACGGACTGCGCCGCGACATAATCCCCCTTCGGCCATTCTGGCCCGGCGGGGGATAAAAACTAGAAAATAGCAGATAGTCGTGTCTAGTGCTTGAGATGCGATTTTTCTTGAAAATATGAATTTTCAATGCAAGAGAATAACCAGAATAGTTTTTCTGCCGAAACAGATTCCGTTTGGGGTAAAGGGAAAATAGCTGTGGAAATTATATGAATGGACCACTGAAAATCAGTCACGACACCAGGTGTTCGCGAAAAGGGTAAGCATGTCCTGCCCGACTGGTGGCACCCGCCATTCATACAATTTGCATAAAAAAGTAAGTATTGTTGCCTTACACAGCACAGTAGTACTCCTGCCATGCGACAAACAAACCAGACAATGAGCACACGTGTGACTACACTGCAGACTAAAGTACATTTGCATATGAAACCAGACAATATTTCCGGAATGTTTTTCGTCTTGACTGAAAGGTGCTTAGTGTTGTGATCCCTTAATGGTGATAGGTAGATTATTCCAAAGAGAAGTTAATGTGAAGGAAAAACGTCTGTGGCCAAACGTTCTTTTATCCAGTTGCTGGTGTGATGAACATTGAGCTGCTGGTTGACCTCTTCTAGACGGTACACATTCTCTCAACACAGTTGTTGGTGGAGATGACCCTTTAATACATCGGAGGGGCGGTCGGGTAGCCTCGGGTAGCCTCGCCCGTCACGCCGAAGACCCGGGTTCGATTCCCGACATGGGTACAATGTGTGAAGCCCATTTCTGGTGTCCCCGCCGTGATATTGCTGGAATATTGCTAAAAGCGGCGTAAAACCGTACTCACTCACTCACTTAATACATCGGTTCGTGACACCCAGGATCTTATACCCGACTAGCGACATGTGGGGGTGTTTGTTGCTTCTGCTAGTTATGTAATTGCCATTACTTTGATAACTGGGGCGGTGGGGTAGCCTATTGATTTAATTGGTTAAGGCGTTCGCTCGTTCGATTCCCCACATGTGCACAATGTGTGAGGCCCATTTCTGGAGTCCCCCGCCGTGATACTGCTGGAATATTGCTAAAAGCGACGTAAAACCATATTCACCTATTCACTTTAATCACTGATGCATCAAATGTGGAAATGTTCTTCACAGATCTACCATAAAACGCTTTGATGAGAATCTTCACCTCATGCGTCCACCAGATCTAGAGTTCTCTAAGATCTCACTGAGTTGGAAATCAAACGCGCAAATATAAAACCATGGATCTATGCAGAGATATTCCAAATGATGGCGACCTCTGTACCAACCTACATGACGAGAATGGTGATTTAGACTTTTCAAGTGTGAATTTCCAATTTATCTCGAAGATAATAGATATGTTAAGTTTGAGGCAGTCTGCTGTGGGACACCGTGTCTTAAAACATTAGGACGCCATATATATCAAGATTCGCTAACATTTAGACGCCGTTTGTTGGAAGATATAAATGGAGCTACGGTTATTATTGGGACACGATTATAGCGAGACACTGTTTACAGTGAGACACAGCGTGACACTGGTTACAGTGAGACACAGCGTGACACTGTTTACAGAGAGACAGCGAGACACTGTTTGCAGTGAGACAGCGAGACACTGTTTACAGAGAGACAGCGAGACACTGTTTGCAGTGAGACAGCGAGACACTGTTTTTCAGAGAGACAGCGTGACATTGCTTACAGCGGCTCACAGCGTGACACTGTTTGCAGTGAGACAGCGAGACACTGTTTACAGAGAGACAGCGAGACACTGTTTGCAGTGAGACAACGAGACACTGTTTTCAGAGAGACAGCGAGACACTGTTTGCAGTGAGACAGCGAGACACTGTTTACAGAGAGACAGCGAGACACTGTTTGCAGTGAGACAGCGAGACACTGTTTTCAGAGAGACAGCGAGACACTGTTTGCAGTGAGACAGCGGGACGCTGTTTACAGAGAGACAGCGAGACACTGTTTGCAGTGAGACAGCGAGACACTGTTTTCAGAGAGACAGCGAGACACTGTTTGCAGTGAGACAGCGAGACACTGTTTTCAGAGACACAGCGTGACACTGTTTGCAATGAGACAGCGAGACACTGTTAACAGAGAGACAGCGAGACACTGTTTGCAGCGAGACAGCGAGACACTGTTTACAGAGAGACAGCGAGACACTGTTTGCAGTGAGACAGCGAGACACTGTTTTCAGAGAGACAGCGAGACACTGTTTGCAGTGAGACAGCGAGACGCTGTTTACAGAGAGACAGCGAGACACTTTTTGCAGTGAGACAGCGAGACACTGTTTTCAGAGAGACAGCGAGACACTGTTTGCAGTGAGACAGCGAGACACTGTTTTCAGAGACACAGCGTGACACTGTTTGCAATGAGACAGCGAGACACTGTTAACAGAGAGACAGCGAGACACTGTTTGCAGTGAGACAGCGAGACACTGTTTACAGAGAGACAGCGAGACACTGTTTGCAGTGAGACAGCGAGACACTGTTTACAGAGAGACAGCGAGACACTGTTTGCAGTGAGACAGCGAGACACTGTTTACAGCGAGACACTGTTTACAGAGAGACAGCGAGACACTGTTTGCAGTGAGACAGCGAGACACTGTTTACAGAGAGACAGCGTGACATTGCTTACAGCGACTCACAGCGTGACACTGTTTGCAGTGAGACGGCGAGACACTGTTTACTGTGAGTCAGCGTGACATTGCTTACAGCGACTCACAGCGTGACACTGGTTACAGAGAGAAAGCGAGACACTGTTTACAGAGAGACAGCGAGACACTGTTTACAGAGAGAAAGCGAGACACTTATTACAGAGAGACAGCGTGACATTGCTTACAACGACTCACAGCGTGACACTGGTTACAGAGAGACAGCGAGACACTGTTTGCAGTGAGACAGCGAGACACTGTTTACAGAGAGACAGCGTGACACTGGTTACAGAGAGACAGCGAGACACTGTTTGCAGTGAGACAGCGAGACACTGTTTACAGAGAGACAGCGAGACACTGTTTACAGAGAGACAGCGAGACACTGTTTGCAGTGAGACAGCGAGACACTGTTTTCAGAGAGACAGCGTGACATTGCTTACAGCGGCTCACAGCGTGACACTGTTCGCAGTGAGACAGTGAGACACTGTTTACAGAGAGACAGCGAGACACTGTTTGCAGTGAGACAGCGAGACACTGTTTTCAGAGAGACAGCGAGACACTGTTTGCAGTGAGACAGCGAGACACTGTTTACAGAGAGACAGCGAGACACTGTTTGCAGTGAGACAGCGAGACACTGTTTTCAGAGAGACAGCGAGACACTGTTTGCAGTGAGACAGCGAGACGCTGTTTACAGAGAGACAGCGAGACACTTTTTGCAGTGAGACAGCGAGACACTGTTTTCAGAGAGACAGCGAGACACTGTTTGCAGTGAGACAGCGAGACACTGTTTTCAGAGACACAGCGTGACACTGTTTGCAATGAGACAGCGAGACACTGTTAACAGAGAGACAGCGAGACACTGTTTGCAGTGAGACAGCGAGACACTGTTTACAGAGAGACAGCGAGACACTGTTTGCAATGAGACAGCGAGACACTGTTTTCAGAGAGACAGCGAGACACTGTTTGCAGTGAGACAGCGAGACACTGTTTACAGAGAGACAGCGAGACACTGTTTGCAGTGAGACAGCGAGACACTGTTTACAGAGAGACAGCGAGACACTGTTTGCAGTGAGACAGCGAGACACTGTTTACAGAGAGACAGCGAGACACTGTTTGCAGTGAGACAGCGAGACACTGTTTACAGAGAGACAGCGTGACATTGCTTACAGCGACTCACAGCGTGACACTGTTTGCAGTGAGACAGCGAGACACTGTTTACTGTGAGTCAGCGTGACATTGCTTACAGCGACTCACAGCGTGACACTGGTTACAGAGAGACAGCGAGACACTGTTTACAGAGAGACAGCGAGACACTGTTTACAGAGAGAAAGCGAGACACTAATTACAGAGAGACAGCGTGACATTGCTTACAACGACTCACAGCGTGACACTGGTTACAGAGAGACAGCGAGACACTGTTTGCAGTGAGTCAGCGAGACACTGTTTACAGAGAGACAGCGAGACACTGTTTACAGAGAGACAGCGTGACATTGCTTACAGCGACTCACAGCGTGACACTGTTTGCAGTGAGACAGCGAGACACTGTTTACTGTGAGTCAGCGTGACATTGCTTACAGCGACTCACAGCGTGACACTGTTTACAGTGAGACAGCGTGACACAGATTACAGCGAGACACAGCGTGACACCTCTTATAGTGAGACACAGAGTGAAACTGTTTACAGTGAGACACAGCGAGACACTGTTTACAGCGAGACAGACTGAGACACTATTTACAGTGAGACACATCATGACACTGTTTAGAGTGAGACACAGCGAGACACTGTTTACAGCGAGACAGACTGAGACACTGTGTACAGCGAGACAGACTGAGACACTGTTTACAGGGAGACACATCATGACACTGTTTAGAGTGAGACACTGTTTACAGGTTGACAGATTACAGTAAGACATGCTTGATATTGAGGACCCGTTTACAGCGAGACGTTCTTTACAAGCAATACGTGTAATATGAGAATACTACGGTATGCGTTGCATTGGATTAAAACTTAATATTCTCCTCATGAAAAGATTTGACACCAGCCGGTACCAGTCAGCAAGCCAAGTTAACACCAGTCACATGAAAGAAACACCGAACAGTTAGTGTAAAACTATCTTGTGGATGCATTGTGTCCATTGAACATTACAAAATGAACGCTTTTAGCGTGGCGATCCTTTATGACATCATATCCGCTTGCGGTTCTTTCAATGTAGACAACTGCAGTGTCGAGAAATGTGAGATCGTATTTTTGTATTGGTGGCGTCCCATCATGGATATTGGGCGCTTTTATTCTTGCACCAAATGTCTGATGTTCACTTTCAACATTTTCCTCTGGGTAAGTAGACTAATTTGCCTAATTTTGCACAAATTAATATGTTACTGGAGGCAAAGCAACCCCTTTCCCCAAATCATTGTCAACCATATATGCGTGGCAATTGTTAAACTGTTGTCGTTACAGTCGACGTAAGTCTGGATCGAGTGATGTATTTTGATCCTTGATGTAGAGAGCTGGGGGAACCATGCAAGTAGCAGAAGTACTGTAAGTCCCCATGGTCCCCAGCATGATGTCCTACCTTTGGTTCGATCCCCTGTCGCGTCATACCAAAAGATGTTAAAAGATGGGACTTGTTGTTACCCTGCCTGGAGCTCGACGTTAGGGGGATTAAACAAGGACTGGTCGGCTCGGTTCGGTGTATGAATACTGTGTCTGAGTGGGGTATTCATGTCTCTCTCTCTCTCTCTCTCTCTCTCTCTCTCTCACACACACACACACATACAGTCTCTCTCTCTCCACACACACATACAGTCTCTCTCTCACACACACATACACACATACACAGTCTCTCTCTCTCTCTCACACACACACAATCACATACACTCGTCGCTATATGAGTGCAGTAATCTTGGACGCGACTCTCTCCCTCTCACACACACATACAGTCTCTCTCTCTCTCTCTCTCTCTCTCTCTCACACACACACATACAGTCTCTCTCTCTCACACACACATACACAGTCTCTCTCTCTCACATACACACACACATTCTCTCTCTCTCTCACACACACATACAGTCTCTCTCTCTCTCACACACAAATACAGTCTCTCTCTCTCACACACAAATACAGTCTCTCTCTCTCACACACACATACAGTCTCTCTCTCTCTCACACACACATACAGTCTCTCTCTCTCACACACAAATACAGTCTCTCTCTCACACACACAAATACAGTCTCTCTCTCTCTCACACACACATACAGTCTCTCTCTCTCTCACACACACATACAGTCTCTCTCTCTCACACACAAATACAGTCTCTCTCTCTCTCACACACACATACAGTCTCTCTCTCACACACACACATACACAGTCTCTCTCTCTATCACATACACACATATACAGTCTCTCTCTCTCTCACACACACATACAGTCTCTCTCTCTCACACACACAAATACAGTCTCTCTCTCTCACACACACAGTCTCTCTCTCTCACACACACATACACATACAAAGTCTCTCTCTCTCACATACACACATACACAGTCTCTCTCTCTCTCTCTCTCTCTCTCTCACACACACACACACACCCACACACACACAATCACATACACACGTCGCTATATGAGTGCAATAATCTTGGACGCGACGTTAAACCTTATGTCACCTTGCCTCCTGCCTTTGGTTGCTGGTGATCTATGGTCCATTTTTATATTGTATTGTTATGTATGGTCACATTATTTTATCGTTCCATGCTAGTTTCAAATACAAATCTGTGACTAAATGTATTATTATTAATGAGTAGCTTGTTTGTAATGTATTGACAATGGTCTTGATATATATATTTTACGTATGCTTCGGTACACTTTTATAATAGCGTATGAACACAACCATCTGTACTGAATGTAGTCTGCATTGCCTGAATAAATCAGTTATCGTGTGGAGTGGCCGTGCTGCCGCTGGAGGTGAGGTGAACGTCGTGGGGTTTAACGTCGCGACCAAGATTATAGCACTTATATATACGTGCATGCACGTGTGTGTGTGTGTGTGTGTGTGTGTGTGTGTGTGTGTGTGTGTGTGTGTGTGTGTGTGTGTGTGTGTGTGTGTGTGTGTGTGTGTGATAAAAATAAAAGCAGTTATTATCCCCCGCCACGAGTGGTAGGGGGATATAGGAATGGGTGCTGTCCGTCCCTCCGTCCGTCCTTCACGTTTCGTTTCCGATGCAGTACTAAAAAACATGAGCGATATCTTAACCAAACTTTGCACATAGATAGGTCTAGTGGTGAACTGGTACCTTTTGAAGGTTTGGGACTTTTCAAATAAATATTTTCGGGTTTCCATGGCAACGATTTTGATTTAGACCGGACATGTCATATTGGCGGGGGATATGGGTATTTCATGCTTGTTTTCAATATATTACAGTTCCTGGGAACGGGAGTTCTGACCTTTGGAATTTGGAGTCGTTTTGAACTATGGCAGAGCCCGGTCAACAAAGTCATTTCCACCATTGCCGGAGTATACATGACAGATTACATGTATATTTTTATTGGTTGTATTACGGTCATTCTTGGATCTTGCGGATGTTGCGGAGCTGTCATGCACAACAAATTGTTTCTGACAGGGGTGAGTGTAGTCGTACACGCTTCTGACGCCAATAGTACAAACTGATTTAAAGCAGACGTCTGTGGTCGTACCTACAAGCTGTAGGTGATATCTGTACAAGCTGTATGTGCTATGTGCACACATGTACGGAAGCGTAGTAGGGCCATGGTGAATGTTTTTGTCTAAGTATCTCCTACGTAGGACTTACTATCTCCTACGTAGGACTCATTATCTCCTACGTAGGACTTAGTATCTCCTACGTAGGACTTAGTATGGCCAAGAATAACTATCTAATCCTACGTAGGAGATAATAAGTCCTACGTAGAAGATACTAAGTCCTATGCAGGAGATACTGAGACAAAAAAAATTCACCGTGGCCCTACTACGCCCCCGTACACATGCAATACGTAAACAGAGACAAACGTACTTTTAAGTGTGTTTGGTTTTACGTTGCTTTGAACAGTATTTCAGTTATTTCAACTTGATGTGGGAGGAAAGCGCGAGGTGATTTACCACTATGGTGAAACCACCGAGACGGTGTGGTGTTGACGAACCTTGACATAATTCGAAAGAACGATCAAAGAATTGTGGCAAGCCTAACAGCAAATTAGATGTCTACGACTGGGCTAGCCGTGTTTCCGGTTTTAAAGGCACGTTTTGATAACAATAATAAGAATGAAGACAATTTTTGTGTTTGCAAATATGTCACAAAAGCTAAATTAGAGAAAAGATAAATCACGAAAAAAATTCAACTTACCCCATGTTTTGATCTTCTGACCGCCTCCGTGGTCGGGGTTCGATCCCCGACCGCGTCATACCAAAAGACATTAAAACTTGTTGTTACCCTGTCTGGCGCTCGGCATTAAGGGACTGAAACAAGGACTGGTCGGCTCGGAGTCAGTATACTGTGTCTGAGTGGGGTATTCATGTTAAACTGTGGCATGGTATCTTAGTGAGCTAGCACTATAAATCGGCATCAGTCCGGACTAGTACAAGCAGCTACACACACACACACACGTGCATGCACGTCGCTATATAAGTGCAATAATCTTGGACGCGACGTTAAACCCCATTTCACCCCACCTTTGATCTTCTGTTGAAGTCACCGAACCACAACCGAGACACTATAGCTTGAAAATTGCATTGGACCATTTAAACGTTATCGACACGTTTCTAGTCTGAAAACAGTCCCCGAAACACGGAAGATCCCAAACACAACTACATGTCGTAACATGCATGAAAAACATCACCATCAGATAACCATTTTTTCTTTGCCTCATTTTTAGCCGTGAAGATTCCGGGGTAGAATAGGTCTTCAGCAACCCATGCTTGCCGTAAAAGGCGACTATGCTTGTCGTAAGAGGCGACTAACGGGATCGGGTGGTCAGGCTCGCTGACTTGGTTGATACATGTCATCGATCCCAATTGCGTGGATCGATGCTCATGATGTCAATCACTGGATTGTCTGGTCCAGACTCGATTATTTTACAAACCGCCGTCATGTAGCTGGAATATTGCTGAGTGTGGCGTTAAACAACAAACAAACAAACAAACATTTTTAGCCGCCATATAATATGGGTGTATACCTTCTTTTGCCTGGCGATTTATGTTAGACAATACGGTACTAATACATCCATTTCAGATATCTTTAGGAGCACTTGTAACATCCGCCGCAATGGTTGGGATCGGTGTGAACATTCTGGCACAGAGGGATAGGGTAAGTACTACCCTATACACTTTATGCTTTGTTTTATTTATTTTTGAGGAAACTGTAGCCCGCAAGTGAGTGAGTGAGTTAATGCTTTACGTCACATCGGCAATATTTCAGCCATATCGTGACGAGAGCCCGCAAGTGAGCGTGGCCTTATTGTTTTCAGGTTTATAGAAACATTACGCAAAAGATTGCTTGGTTAGCTAATCAAATGCCATGAAATAACATGCAATTCATTTATATTACGGCTTCTCAGCTTAAAATGTTTGTTTTGTTTGTTTGTTTGTTTGTTTGTGTGTTGTTTAACGCCGCACTCTTTCAGCAATATTTCAGCAATATGTCTGTAAATACAAATGTCAAAACGGTCTAGGGAATACAGTCTGACATTTCTCGCTATCCTGACATTTCTAATCATAATGGAATAATGTTTAAAAAAATCGCGAGACAGTTATTCTTGTGTAAAATGTGCCAGGTGTAAATTGACGCTTACCTTTATGAAACAATTGGTATACGATGAAATGCATCAACCAGGGCAGTGAGCCTGACCACGAGCGGCTGACTGATAATTGGTGTCATGTTCCTGAAATATTGTCTATGGCTGTTTCAACAGATAGGCACAATTTGATGTATTACAGTAAACTACAGTTATAACGAACACGCTTATAACGAACTGACCGATATAACGAACAGTCTTATTTTTTAGTCCCGGACATTTGATGTATATATGCTGTATATAATTATGCTTATAACGAACTACTGTTATAACGAACTAAAATTAGCGGTCCCTTTGAGCTCGTTATAACCGTATTTTACTGTATGTTTTAAAGTGATGATCCTTAGCAAACTTTGAGTAGTATATATGTGTTGATGTTGATATACTCTGCGTATACTCAGTTGGTGATTAGTCGTATCTATAAAAAAAATTATGACCATTGTTTTTCTCTATGAGCAATGTATTTTTTCCTCTCGTTATTGTTTTAGTTGTTTTGTTAGTAATCAATTGCTCTTTCATGTAGTAGCTTTCAATTAAACTGTTATATATTTTTCAGGTGAAAGCGTCTATTGATGGTTTACTGCAAGATTATGTCAGGAAGATTAACAACCCTCAACATGATAAAATAACCATTGATCGACTCCAGAAAACGGTACAAGTCTTTACTCTATATCTTACTTTTCATTTGAAAATATTTAATGTTCACATTTTTCTAAAAATATTGAGTAGTGATAGGTATAGTATAGAATAATACATCACGGTATTGTACAGTATAGTATAGCATAGTGAGTGAGTGAGTGAGTGAGTGAGTGAGTGAGTGAGTGAGTGAGTGAGTGAGTGAGTGAGTGAGTGAGTGAATGGAGTGAGTGAGTGAGTGAGTGAGTGAGTGAGTGAGTGGGTGGGTGGGTAGGTGGGTGGTTGGGTGAGTGCGTGAGTGAGTGAGTGAGTGAGTGAGTGAGTGAGTGTGTGTAGTATAGTACAATATAGTGTGTTAGAGTATGGTACATGTTTAGTATAGTAAAGTGTAACATAGGTTTGGTTTGTTTGCTTGTTGTTTAACGCCGCACTCGGCAATATTCCAGCTATATGACGGCGGTCTGTAAATAATCGAGGCTGGACCAGACAATCCAGTGATTGATATCATGAGCATCGATCCACGCAATCGATGACGTGCATCAACCAAGTCAGCGAGCCTGACCATCCGATCCCGTTAGTCGCCTTTTACGACAAGCATAGTCGCCTTTTACGGCAAGCATGGGTTGCTGAAGACCTAATCTACCCCGGATAGTATGTCCCATGCTGTATAGTATAAAAGTGTTTGTGTGTGTATAGTATAGCATGGTACCGTACCGTACCGTACAGTGTAGTGTAGTGTAGTGTAGTGTAGTGTAGTGTAGTGTAGTGTAGTGTAGTGTAGTGTAGTGTAGTGTAGTGTAGTGTAGTGCAGTGCAGTGTAGTGTAGTGTAGTGTAGTGTAGTGTCGTTGTGTGTATAAATATGTCTATGGTGTAGTATAGTATAGTATAGTATAGTATAGTATAGTATAGTATAGTACAGCACAGTACAGTACAGTACCGTTGTGTGTATATATATGTCTATGGTGAAGTATTGCAAAGTATAGTTAGTAGTTAGTACAGTAGAGTATAGCGATAGGGATTTTAAGCCTCACTAGCGGCGGTGGTGGGCGTAAGGGTTCTCTTAAACTTTAAAACAACACATTTTTCTGACAACTAATTTGTCTTGTGCCATTAGTCTGGGACTGGCTGTCTTTGTGTAAAATCGTATCCCATGTTCAGGTGTCCATAGTAACTGTTATTGTGTACATTTCGCAGTAAAATGGCCTACTTTAAGTACAGTAAACTTCGTTTAAAACGAACTCAAAGGGACGGCTTATTTTATTTCGTTATAACCGTAGTTCGTTATAAGAATATATACAGCACATATACAGCAAATGGCAGGGACCAAAAAATAAATTCGTTATATCCGTCAGTTCGTTATAAGCGTGTTCGTTATAACCATAGTTCACTGTATCTTTAAATGTCATTTATTCAGATGAACTGCTGTTTTATCCACCATGTTGGCAATTACTCCTCATGCACACTGGACAACTTAAATAAGGTATGGCATTTCGTATGCAGAGACAATTATGTATACATATAGGATAGCAATAAAGATTAAGGGGTAGAGGACCTCGTGAAAATTGTAATAGTGGCAGATAACAATTTTATCGCTAACATTTTTGTTTGTTGGTTTGTTGTTTAACACCGCACTCGGCAATATTCCAGCTATATGACGGCGGTCTGTAAATAATCGAATCTGGACCAGACAATCCAGTGATTGACAGCATGAGCATCGATCCAAGCAATTGGTATCGATGACATGTATCAACCAAGTCAGCGAGCCTGACCACCCGATCCCGTTAGTCGCCTTTTACGACAAGCATAGTCGCCTTTTTACGGCAAGTATGGGTTGCTGAAGACCAATTCTACCCCGGAATCTTCACGGGTCTTATCGGTAACAAGAACGATGGACGTTGGGGAGTTGGGCCTATATTTATTGTCTATGTTTTTATGAGATTCTTAAGCCTAGTCGTATGACGTCATATTAAGACTGTAGCAGTTTCTTGTGTTGTAAGTTGTATCTTATTACATGTTTTGTTTCTAGTCTTGTGCTGATCAGATGTTTATCGTCACCTCCCAGAGACACAGGGTTATAGCTGACGTGGCGATAGGATGTGGGTTAGTGATGGTGAGTGTGGTGAACACATCAGTACTTGTTAGCACTTACACTTAACTATGACGGGGATGGTGTTAAGCCCATCGTCTCGGTTGGTGATGGTGGTGAAATTGGGTTTAACGTCGCGTCCAAGATTATTGCACTTTTATAGCAACGTGTGTGTGTGTGTGTGTGTGTGTGTGTGTGTGTGTGTGGCTGCTTGTTCTAGTCCGGACTGATGCCGATTTATAGTGCTAGCTCACTGAGATACCATGCCGCAGTTTAACATGAATACCCAACTCAGACACAGTATGCTTACTCCGAGCCGACCAGTTTTAGCCCCTTAATGCCGAGCGCCAGACAGGGTAACAACAAGTACCATCTTTTAACGTCTTTTGGTATGACGAGGCCGGGGATCCATGGTCTCGGAAAGGATGCTATATTCATAGGTGTCTACATGCATGCACTTCGTTGTTATCCTGACTGCCTCCGTCTAGTCTAGTGGTTGTGAGTGAGTGAGTTGGGTTTAACGCCGCTTTTATCTGTATTGCAGTTATATCAAGGCTTGTCAGCTTAATGTTGGAGGAAAGCTCGAAGTAATGTAGGTGTGAGACGTTTACCACTTCAGTGAAACCCACGAGCACGGTATGGTGCGGACAAATCTAGAAACATAATCGGGGCGACCTGGGATTCGAACCCGCAATCATAGGTTTCTGGCGTGTCCAAGGGACGAAACTCTGCACAGCGAATCGCGGCGCCTTAGACGACTTGGCCACCTGTGCCTCCTCTAGTCGTAGAGCGTCCGGCCGGAGAGCGGAAGGTCCGGGGTTCGATCCCCGGCCGCGTCATAAAAGACGTTAAACGATGGTACTTGTTGTTACCCTGTCTGGTGCTCGGGATTAAGGGGCCAGGGGCACGGGTGGCCAAGTCGTCTACCTGAAAACACCTGGATCTGCCTCTGATAATTAATAATCAATAATAAACATTTATCCAAGAAAATTAACACAAACACTTTTGTTCACGTTGACATTTATCGTAAAATTATTCCCAGGGCAAATACAATTGCTTGATATTTTTTATTGGTGAATTTTCATGACCAAGACATCTTCATTTAATCATCTATCCTGTTAAAACAGTGTATTTTATGTACGTAGTAATGAGAATTAACTTGTTTTATATTATTTTAAAAATGAGAAATCGATTAATTTCAGGGATTGTAGTAACTATGCACACAGAAAATTCTAACCTTCAAGTCTAATGTACCAAAGACGTCTTACAAATGTAATAGTGTTCATTCTGCATGTTTTGCCATCATGAGCATGGATCCACGCATTTTGGACACGATGACATGCATCAACCAAGTTGGCGAGTCTGACCACCCGATCCCGTTAGTCGCCTCTTACGCCACGCTGACATCGCTCTAGCCAAACTTTCCTCCTCGCTAAATCGTCCATTTCGCATGTAAATTTGACGAAATGACACTCTACTTTTGTTTGATGATTTAGTACACACCCACGCAACACAATACCCCATTTCGCGTCTTCATTACGCCGAGGTTAACGAAAAATCACTAGATTAGTAATCACTGTAAACAAAAGAAAATGGCGGACGTCTCTCCGCTATGACGTCACAGCTACCGCGTGGCCTCTAGCTTGGGTTTCGATTTGACTGCGCGCTGGTTTTGGGATCAGTGCAATTGTTTCTTCCTATTAGTATAATGAAATCATGCGTGCGTGCGTGCGTGCGTGCGTGCGTGAGTGCGTGTTTTTCATAATAGATCTCCTATAAGACCAGCATAGGTTCCTGAGGACCAAGCCTCCCAAGGGTGTTTGTGATTTCTTCAATCACACGATTAGTTTAAATTCCGCTGTTAGTAGAGGAAAGCTAGGTGGTTGTCACTATGGATCTACATTTGTGTGTGGAGTATAGTCAACAAGTTGTGTTCTTTTTGGCAGGGCTTAGGGATGATCATCTCGATGTTATTACTGTGCGTCATCAGAGAGATAAGGTGAGTGTTTCGTGTCAGTTCCAACTGATTTGATAATGACAGTTCAACAGGAGTACTGCAGTAGAATTGCACAATTAACGCAGCATCAATGCTGAATAATCGCGGTTGGTTGGTTGGTTGGTTGGTTGGTTGTTTAACGCCGCACTCGGCAATATTCCAGCTATATGACGGCGGTACGTAAATAATCGAGTCAGACAATCCAGTGAATAATATCATGAGCATCGATCCACGCAATTGGGATCGATGACATGTATCAACCAAGTCAGCAAGCCTGACCACCCGGTCCCGCTAGTCGCCTTTTACGACAAGTATAGTAGCCCTTTACGGAAAGCATGGGTTGCTGAAGACCTATTCTACCCCATCGCGGACGTTCATGGAATTGGCGCCTAACATTTGCGGAATGACCGAGGTACATTTGCGGATATACTGTAACGTACTTGCGCGGTATCGCAGACATTACTCAGATATTCCGCGGAAATATAAATTCCTAAAAGTAAATGTGTTTGAATATTTGTTTGGCCATTGTTTTTCTTTCTCGGAGAAGCTGAACCATTCTTTGCGCTTCACTCTTCAGGGCTTCACCATATCCAGTGAACAACTTTACGTTGTGGTTTTTTAGGGAAAATTGTGTTATATACTTCAGTGTGAAAGACTGAGTTTTCTGAAGTTGAGAAAAGTGATATTTTCATTGCAGTGAAGATACCTGTAACACTTGGTATTTCACTGTAGCGAACACGAAATTATTGTTATACAAGAGTTACCTCCCTGCAAATTGTCTCCCTTTATCGTAAGTGTCCAGCCCGTACACAAACTGTTGACTTCCTTGTTACGTTAGTTCCACACTGACAAGACAAAATAATGACAGATGGTCATTTATGGAGATTCCTGCCTTTTGTTTTTCTCTTGAAAATGTTTCGTTATAAACTGTAGATTTCCCATTTAATTCGTCATTCAAGACTGTTCGTTTCGCGATGCACCATTTTTGTTACTTGAATAGCGTGTATTCTTTCGCTTCCCACATCAATTTCATGAATATTATTTTGTTGAAGTTGATTTGGTATACATGTATAATCACATCTAAATGTATGCTAAAGAATGCTGGTGACCCGAAATATTTTGTGTAACTTTTGTTTATATTTTTAAAGATTTCTGTCGCAAATACAATTTACGGAATTTACGTTTCAAGGTTTTACATTTGTAATGAAATAATCTAATTTTCCGGTAGACAACAGCACAAACAGTATACGCCACTCGTGAAAATATCTTCCTCCCTCCTTCACTCGATGAGAGAAACGTGATATTTCACACGACACAGAAAATATTCTCCATATGTTTTCCCGTTTTTATTTTCCGGCTAATCTCTGACTCATGTTTGTTTTTATTTCAGCACGCATCCATACACAGAAACCTCCGTACTATATGTGTCTCAAGTGTGAATGGGGGGCACGGGTGCCCCATTCGTCTAGGGCGCCGCGATTCGCTGTGCAGAGTTGCGTCCCTTAGGATTTTGGGTTCGAATCCCGGTTCGCCCCTATTATGTTTCTAGGTTTGTCAGCACCATGCCCGTGCTCGTGGGTTTCACCGAAGTGGTAACGTCTGAGACCTGCAACACTTCGGGCTTTCCTCCCACATTAAGCTGACACGCCGTGATATAACTGGAATACTGTTAAAAGTGGCGTTGAACCATACTCAATCACTCAACTGTGAATGTCATCAAGTACTTTTATGCATTGCAGTATGTATTCACGTGTCTTTTGCGTGTCAACATCGCCTGTCATTTAATATGTGTAACGCAATTTATGATGTGTTATAAGTCAAATTTCACGTTGCATTTTTTTATATACATTTTTTCATGTTCAATGTTGACTATGTAATGCATGTATACAGTGAAACCTCGTAAGTCCCGAACTCTTCATTTCGGAAACCGCGTAATCCGGACAAATACTATTAGGAAGGCCTTTGATAAGGTCAGTTGACATAACTACTAACCAATGATTATCCGGAAATTCGTTAATCCGGACGATTTCGTTAAAAACGATACCTTCCGGATTAACGAGGTTTCACTGTATCATAGAAATTACGGAGGAGTGCATGAGGCTACAATTGCGGGGATTGATATCAATCACTGGAATGTCTGGTCCAGACTCGATTATTCACAGACCGCCGTCATATAGCTGGAATATTGCTGAAGCACGATGTGTGAAGCCCGATTCTGGTGCATCGGATCAAAATCGTAACAATGTCCTGTGTTATCTCGACGGTGTCTTATGGATCAGGACGCTGTGGTGATGAACGGGCAAGAATTGTTCATTGCCGCTTCTTGTCGATTGAGTCCAGATTGCGTCCAGATCATGCCGAATGCGAACCGTCTTTGTCGGTTCACTGTCTGATCTCTGTCGGATCGCATTCGGTAGAATCGGGACGCTGTCGGGACAGATTCTGTCGTTTTTTCACCATGCGGAAGATACAAATCGGATCAGATTCGGACTGAGAACGGGAGAATCGGGACGCATTCGGCTGAAAACGGCTGAATCTGGACGCTTCCTGAACAATATCTGATTATTTGTAAATTTCCCGCCACAAATCACAGGATCTTGATCAGACTTTTGACAAATTGTAATCGGGAATGTTCCTATCAAGGCGGCAGTAAAAATCCTGAGTGTTTGACTGAACCCTTACACCAGCTCTACAAATAACTGATTAATATCATAATTGATGTATTGTTTCAGTACTCAACAATGTAAACATAATATAAATAAAATAACATGTACTTCATATCTTCATTGTTATGGTCATTGTATTCGTCTATGCTATCAGAATACAAAGCAGGGATGTAAACACACACTGAAATTGTGTGTGTGTTTGTGTGTGTGTGTGTCTCTGTGTGTGTGTGTGCGCGCGCGTGCGTGCGTTCGTGTGTGTGTGTATGTGTGTGCGTGTGTGTGTGTATGTGTGTGTGTGCGTGCGTGTTCGTGCGTGCGTTCGTGTGTGTGTGTATGTGTATGTCTGTGTGCGTGCGTGCGTGCGTGCGTGCGTGCGTGCGTGCGTGCGTGCGTGCGTGTGTGTGTGTGTGTGTGTGTGTGTGTGTGTGTGTGTGTGTGTGTGTTTGTGTGTGTGTGTGTGTCCTTCGCCTAAGGCGCACGCAATTCGACGCCGGTGACATAAAACCATTACAAAACAGTATTTAGATGCTCGATATCGGGGATGTATTTGAACAATGTGAGCATGTTACTCTGTCTACACAAATCAATCTGTTCGTTTGAAAATTAATACAGGAACCGATTCAATAAATGATTTTTTATATACATATGGTACATATGGAGGAAGCGGTTCTGTTGCTTCTTTCCTTAGCCATTGTGATATTTCACTCAGCCGTCTCGTCAGTTGGCATCCCTCACAGCAAGATCTTCCTGGGTTTGATTTAGACCTGGAGACGTTCCTTGGTGACGAACCAGTACAGATCTGGAAATATATAAGGTCAACACAGGAAAATAACCAGTCTCGATTATCTCCCGAATCAGATTCCATAAGGGCGTAAAATGTAAAATAGTGGTAAAAAATGGATGATTTTGTTTGTGTGTTTGTTTGTTTGTTGTTTAACGCAGCACTTAGCAATATTCCAGCTATATGACGGCGGTCTGTAAATAATCGAGTCAGGACCAGACATTCCAGTGATTAATATTGCTGAGTGCGGCGTTAAACAACCAACCATCCAACCAACCAACTTAAAACCGAATTCAGTCACGCCTACACGTGAACATTTGATTTATACGTAATCAGCATCAATTTCAATGACTAGAGAATCAGCATTTTCAAAATAATGAGAAGTAAATGATAATACATATCGAATAACAAGGAAAGACATTAACAGTAATCAATGCAGCGGTCGAAGTGATGAGGAAGTCAGATACAAATACAACATGATATTTCAATAGCGAAACCAACACATGACCTGAATACAAATGTAGTTTTTGATTACGAAATGTTTTGTTTTGCTAGATAAATAATAAGAACGACTGCCTGATCATAAATCTCAATACCTATTTTTGAAAATGGTCAAGCCATTAATTTGATCTGTGTAACGATTTTCATCTTGGGGAATCTCCTTGATTGTCTTCTGATCCATTTCGCAAAATTAAAACCCGGAAATAATTGAAGTAGGACTTTCCTGTTTGGCGCTATCGTACTTTCGTTTTGTGTGTCAGCGCATAGAATACTTTGCGTATCTCAAATCAGTGTGTTGGGTTTATCTTGAAGTTCTGTCAATGCTGTGAACAAGAGTGACATTCTGGAAGTGCCATTTTGGTTGCCTACACTGTCACTGTACTTGGAACCATGAGAACAGGATTATGTCACACTCGGGTGAAGTATTTGCTGCTTGCGTTCAACTTTTTGTTGTGGGTGAGTAAGGTTTTAGTAACACTGATTATACACTCTCGTCACACAAATTAAATACGCTACCTCTGGTTGACATACCCAGCAGGCCATCCCACATGATGCGGTGGAAGTGGTGGTGGGGGGTGGGGGATGGGGGATGGGGGTCACACAGAAATATAGGAAGTTACCAATGGGCAGATTAAGGATCATTTTAAGAAAGTATAGGTTAGACCAGTTAAAATACTGGGTAGGGAGCGAAGATTTAATGGTTATATCTTAATGCTTTGTGAAATCTGTGAAAGTTAACCTGTTTTGGCTTGAACATGAACACTTCGACTTGACTATGGTGACTACGGCTTGACCAGGGTGACTACGACTTGACAAGGGTGACTAGGACTTGACCAGGGTGACTAGGACTTGACAAGGGTGACTAGGACTTGACCAGGGTGACTAGGACTTGACAAGGGTGACTAGGACTTGACCAGGGTGACTAGGACTTGACCAGGGCGACTAGGACTTGACCAGGGTGACTAGGACTTGACCAGGATGACTACGACTTGACCAGGGTGACTACGACTTGACCAGGGTGACTAGGACTTGACCAGGGTGACTACGACTTGACCAGGGTGACTAGGACTTGACCAGGTGACTAGGACTTGATAAGGGTGACTAGGACTTGACCAGGTGACTAGGACTTAACCAGGGTGACTACGACTTGACAAGGGTGACTACGACTTGACAAGGGTGACTAGGACTTGATAAGGGTGACTAGGACTTGACCAGGTGACTAGGACTTGACCAGGGCGACTAGGACTTGACCAGGGAGACTAGGACTTGACCAGGGTGACTAGGACTTGACCAGGGCGACTAGGACTTGACCAGGGTGACTAGGACTTGACCAGGATGACTACGACTTGACCAGGGTGACTACGACTTGACCAGGGTGACTAGGACTTGACAAGGGTGACTACGACTTGACCAGGGTGACTAGGACTTGACCAGGTGACTAGTACTTGACCAGGTGACTAGGACTTAACCAGGGTGACTAGGACTTGACAAGGGTGACTAGGACTTGACAAGGGTGACTAGGACTTGACCAGGGTGACTAGGACTTGACCAGGGTGACTGGGACTTGACCAGGGTGACTAGGACTTGACCAGGTGACTAGGACTTGACCAGGGTGACTAGGACTTGACAAGGGTGACTAGGACTTGACAAGGGTGACTAGGACTTGACCAGGGTGACTAGGACTTGACCAGGGTGACTAGGACTTGACCAGGGTGACTAGGACTTGACCAGGTGACTAGGACTTTACCAGGGTGACTAGGACTTGACCAGGTGACTAGGACTTGACCAGGTCACTAGGACTTGGCCAGGTCACTAGGACTTGGTTCCTGTACCAATATTACACTCTATAAATGGCTTGGCGAGTACATAAAGTTAAATAAAGGACAGTTTCAGGGCAGACGGTTCTTGAGAAACAATAAATTATTTTTACAAGTCTACATTTATAACCGACAATTGATTGAGCTCATAAATCAAAATAATTTCGAACAGTCACACGGAAGTATTTGCGTCAGAAACTATGAATATTCTTAAAGAATTCATATTTCCTGACTTAATTCTTCCCTGTGTCAGATTCAATTGCTCTGGTTGCAAACTTTATCATTTCAAATGAACTAACAATAATGCAACACTTAAACACAACTTTCATGAACTAACAATAATGCAACACTTAAACACAACTTTCATAAATAACAACGAATGCCCGTGTATGTTTAGCAACAAACACCCATGAGTGTACTCATCTGGTATCCATAGAACTACCTATACATAACATGTTTGTTTGTTTGTTGTTTAACGCCGCACTCAGCAGTATTCCAGCTATATGACGGCGGTCTGTAAATAATCGAGTTTGGACCAGACACTCCAGTGATTGACATCATGAGCATCGATCCACGCAATTGGGATCGATGACCTGCATCAACCAAGTCAGCGAGCCTGACCACCCGATCACGTTTGTCGCCTCTTACGACAAGCATAGTCGCCTTTTACGGCAAGCATGGGTTGATGAAGACCTATACCATCCCGGATCTTCACGACTGGTGCAAACAAAAGCAAAATAGCGGTGAAAAGTTATGTGAATGGATAATTGAAAATCCGTGGTGGGTGGGACTGGAAATTTTAATTTAGAATTTTATGGCAGACATTTTAAAACAAAATATTTTGTTCAAATATCAAATGGTCGGTCCCTTGCAATATTTGGTTCTGTCCTTGCCATATGTTGGAACTTGAGGATCGATGCTCATGATGTCTATCACTGGATTGTCTGTGATCCAAACACGATTACTTTACAGACCGCCGTCATATAGCTGGAATATTGCTGAGTGCGGCGTTAAACAACAAACACACAAAACAAAACAAATCCTTGCATTTTCAGCTTCATGGGATGGCAATCGTGGGTTTTGGGATATGGATCCTCGTCTCAATCCCAGAGGAGGGATATACTGAAATTAAAGATGACGAAGTTGACGAAGTGCTGAAGATTGTAGGTGGCACGCTTATCGCTGGGGGTTGTGCCATCGTCATCGTCGGAATTATCGGATGTCATGGAACCATCAAGGAAAACCCGTGTCGTCTCCTTGGGGTGAGTAAAGGTCGATGTTTGATAAGGGCTTCGTTTAGACAAATGTATCTGCACAATTTCATATATGAAGGATTGTTTCAGATTCGAAAATAGTAGCACCGGTCGTAATATAGCTAAGGTTTGCTGAGTGCGGCGTTAAGTTTGGTTTCGTTTGTTTGTTGTTTAACGTCGCACTCAGCAATATTCCAGCTATATGACGGCGGTCTGTAAATAATCGAGTCTGGACCAGACAATCCAGTGATTGACATCATGAGCATCGATCCACGTAATTGGGATCGATGACATGCATCAACCAAGTCAGCGAGCCTGACCACCCGATCCCGTTAGTCGCCTTTTACGACAAGCATAGTCGCTTTTTACGGCAAGCAGGGGTTGCTGAAGACCTATTCTACCCCGGAAACTTCACGGTTTGCGGCGTTAAGGAACAAACAGCTACACTATAACACGAGGTGTGGATGTAAAATTACATTGTGACATGACATTCAATGTTAGCGGTTCTCCGGAACATGAGCAGGTATATTCGACCTCATTTGACATTTTAGTGCGATGCAGGTAAAGAGAGTTTTTGTTTCTTTTGTTTGTGGTTCAACGCCGCACTCAGCAATATTTTAGCCAAATGGCTGCGGGCTGTGTAAATAATCGAGTCTGGGCCAGACAATCCAGTGATTGACATCATGCGCATCGATCTAAGCAAATGGTTGTTTAACGCCGCACTCAGCATTATTCCAGCTATATATGACGGCGGTCGATGCTCATGATGTCAATCACTGGATTGTCTGGTCCAAAATCGATCATTTACAGTCAGACGTCATATAGGAGGAATGTTGCTGAGTGCGGCGTTAAACAATAAACAAACAAAACAAACAAGTAACAACATACGGCAAGGACAGAAGTTGGCTTCATGCTGCCGAGAAACCTATGGCGTATATAATTCTAGTAATGACATGTGGCTGAAATATTGCTGATTGCGGCGTTAAACAACACACAAACAAACAAACAAAAACAACAACAAATGACATGTGCATATGTGTTGACTTCACAGTGGTGGTGTTTGGGTAACCTGAGTATTTATGTTTCAGTACTCTATAAGCTTGTTTATCATCTTCGCCGGCCTACTGGGAACTGGAGTTGTGATAATCATCAAAAAAGACAAAGTAAGTAATATTACAGTTTATTTGATTGTTTCTTGTTTAACGCCGCACTCAGCAATATTCCAGCCATATGACGGCCGTCTGTAAATAATCGAGTCTGGTCCAGACAATCCAGCGATGGACATCATGAGCATCGATCCACGGATTTGGGATACGATGACATGCATTAACCAAGGCAGTGAGCCTGACCACCCGATCCCGTTAGTCGCCTCTTACGACAAGCATAGTCGCCTTTTACGGCAAGCATGGGTTTCTGAAGACCTATTCTACCCCGGATCTTTAAGGGTACATTACAGTTTAACATCATGACGAAAAGGCATAAGTGAGTATAGTTTTACGCCGCTTTTAGCAATATTCTAGCAATATCACGGCGGTGGACACCAGAAATAGTCTTCAAACATTGTACCCATGTGGGGATTGGTCGTATTTGGCGGTCTAACGAACGAGATTATTTCAGGGCAACAGAGTCGGATAAAGGGAATGCTATTTTGTAGTGATGTCGGTAACAATCCAGTAGGATTTCGGGAGAGAATTTGTCCCTAGCTATAGTGACATAATGGGTCGGCTGGTAAGCTTGCTGGCTTGGTTGATGCATGTCATTGTATCCCAATTGTGTAGATCGATGCTCATTATATCAATCACTGGATCGTCTGGTCCAGACCCGATTGTTTACAAACCGCCGTCATATAGCTGGAATATTGTTGAGTGCGGCGTTAAACAACAAAGAAACAATTGCGTGGATCGATGCTTATGATATTGATCACTGGATTTTCTTGTCCAGACTCGATTATTTACAGACCGCCGTCATATAGCTGGAATATTGCTTAGTGCGGCGTTAAACAACAACAACAACAAAAAAAGCGATGTAAACGTCGCCAAACTAAATCTTCAGTACTAATGAAATAGTGTTTAATATGATGATAACACTGATGTCAATAAACACTGTTTTGACGTTTTTCTCACTGCTGTGTTTGGCACGTTTACAAACATCGCAACATAGCAGGCCCGTGAAGATCCGGGGTAGAATAGGTCTTCAGCAACCAATGCTTGCCGTAAAAGGCGACTATGCTTGTCGTAAAAGGCGACTAACGGGATCGGGTGGTCAGGCTCGGTGACTTGGTTGATGCATGTCATCGGTCCCAATTGCGTGGATCGATGCTCATGTTGTCAATCACTGGATTGTCTGGTCCAGACTCGATTATTTACAGACGGCCGTCATATAGCTGGAATATTGCTGAGTGCGGCGTTTAACAACAAACCAAACCAAAGCATGTTCCTACCAATATGGCAACCACTGAGTACATTGAGAATAACGTAATGTCTTCTTGTGCTTGTACAGATTGAAAGTAAGGTTAAAGAGACGCTGAAAACAAACAGTTCAATTTTGACGGTCCTGCGGAAAAAGGTATTTGTAACCATCATACAAATATATACTTACACAACGTTTTAGAGCTTTGTTTCATCATTATCATAAACGGCCATTATCATAATCGGCTATTATCATAATCGTCCGGACTTGATATAACATTGACTATATGTTGTGAATGATAATATATAACAGACGCTAATCAATTCCAACGGTTGTATCAATATCGAGGAAGTGAGTGAGTTGGGTTTTACGCCGCTTTGAACAGTATTTCAGTAATATCACGGCGTGTCAGCTTGACGTGGGAGAAAAGCCCGAATCTTGCAGGTCTCAGACGTTTACCCCTTTGGTGAACCCCCGTGCATGGGTAAGCTGAAAACAATTCAAGAGTAATCCAACATGTCTTTTCCAAGCAATATACGCATGTCAAAATAACATGATGTTTACTGCATTACATATGTTATTGTAGTGCCCCAATGCGACCGAGGACGACGTGACGGTAAGTTGGCGAATTTTTACTTATCTCTTTCAACTTATTTTAAAATTATTTTAGATTCATCATTCCTTCTGTTTGTGACATGTTCACCAGGATAACATAATTCTATCAATAGGGATGATCAACTTCTTTATTACAGTTGTAGCGAAGTTTTTTTAGTAGATTATCATGCAAGTGACTATCGCCTGTAATATTTGTTTGTTTGTTGTGTATCGCCGCACTCAGCAATATTCCAGCTATATGACGGCCGTCTGTAAATAATCGGGTCTGGACCAGACAATTCAGTGATTGACAACATGAGCATCAGCCCGCGCCATTGGGATCGATGACATGCATCAACCAAGTCAGCGAGCCTGACCACCTGATCCCGTTAGTCGCCTCTTACGACAAGCATAGTCGCCTTCTTTCAGGTAGCTGAAGACCTATTCTGCCCCGGAATCTTCGCATGTCTTTACCCTGAATTGTTGATTAAGTGAAAGGACACTTACATTGAGACATATTTATCTATTAGTAAACTGTCTTTACCTAAAACGCGATGTTTCGCGAACACCTGTTTCAGTGAACCAATCATATAATTTCATCACCAATTGACGTCAGGGGCTGGCCATTTCATTATGTAGGTGGCGTGATTATTGGGTCACATAGATCTTCCCGAGGCAATGGAGTTAACTGATTATAAAAGTCCTGTGGAAACTGGACTTTTTAAGTCAATTAACTCTCTTACCTAGGGAAGATGCAAAACATACAGCTATTTCAAAAACACATTTTCGTTTTAACGAAGTCTGAAAGAAGGAGGCGAACAGCTGTATTTTTGTAAATCCCGAGGCAAAATGATATTTTTCCAGCATTTACATGAAAAAAAGAAAGAAAAAAAAAAGACCCGTGAAGATTCCGGGGTAGAATAGGTCTTCAGCAACCCATTCTTGCCGTAAAAGGCTACTGACGGGATCGGGTGGTCAGGCTCGCTGACTTGGTTGATGCATGTCATCGCTCCCAATTGAATGGATCGATGCTCATGATATCAATCACTGGATTGTCTTGTCCAGATTCGATTATTTACAGACCGCCGTCATATAGCTGGCATATTGCCGAGTGCGGCGTTAAACAACAAACCAACCAACCAACATGAAAAAAAATGTTTGTTTCCGTAATCTCAGCCCTTGAAGATGTTACAATGTGAAATTAATTATTATCTCATCGCTGGCGGATTCCGGGGTAGAATAGGTCTTCAGCAACCCATGCTTGCCGTAAAAGGTGACTTTGCTTGTCGTAAAAGGCGACTAACGGGATCGGGTGGTCAGGCTCGCTGACTTGGTTGATGCATGTCATCTATCCCAATTGCGTGGATCGATGCTCATGATATTAATCACTGGATTGTCTGGTCCAGACTCGATTATTTACAGACCGCCGCCATATAGCTGTTATATTGCTGAGTGCGGCGTTAAACAAAAAAACAACCAACCAAGAACTGTAGGAGAGATGATTGATAGTAGAAGCTGGGAGTCTATTACATGGTACATTATAGTATGTGAATAACCAAAAATGTTTGTATTTTATGTGTGATTGTTTAAACTTTAACAGGCCTGTACAGCCACCATCATGAGATACCCTACTATAGTGGCTGGCCTTTCCATCGGTTTTGCCCAAGTCATGGTAAGTTCAAACGATGTTAACATACATCTTATGTTTGTTTGTTAGCTGCTCTCAGCAATATTCCAGCCATATGACGGCGGTCTGTAAATAATCCAATCTAGTAAGATGTACTGATAAGTTGTGCTCTATGTCATGGGCTTTCTGCTACCCTGGGCGGAAGCTCATTTATGTAACAGGTGCGTCTTTCTAAAAATAAAAAAATAATCCAATCTGGACCAGAAAGTCCTGTGATTGACACCATGAGCATCTATATACGCGTTTGGGATACGATGATATGCATCAACCAAGTCAGTGAACCTGACACCCGATCCCGTCAGTCGCCTATTCACACATTGTGCCCATGTGGGGAATCGAACCCGGGATTTCGGCGTGACGAGCGAACGCTTTAACCACGAGGCTACATCACCGCTCGGGAATAATACGGAGTACGGTTTTAAACAACACACTAACAACAATGTATATTTTTATTGTAGTCTCAGTATGTACAAACATGAACACAACTTACACCTCTCTCTTCCCAACAGATTCTTGGACTGGTGTTCTCACTATCATTCCACTGCACCAAGTGACGACGCACCACCAGAGGGACAAGACGATGTGTGTATTCACGACTGGAGAGAGAGCTTTATTTCAGTAAAGGGGCCATGGCCCATTATACAATACATCATATAAGAGTTAGACAATTTCACGACTGCTCTTGATTCACGATGTTTCTGTCCGGCGCCAGGCAACAAACAAACACTTACTTTTTTAAGCAAATTGTGTTAATTGTGTTAATTGTTGGTGCCACCGGCAGAGGGGGACATGCTTACCATTATACTGGTTTTCATTGACCAATTCTATAATATTCACAACTATTTTGCCTTTTACACCCAGTACGTTATATATTCACGATGGCTTACATCCGGCGGTGATGAGCTGTCATTTATGTCCTCATGTTCCTTGAAAGTGGATATATATATCTTTATCGATAATATCGCCTTAGAAAAAAAAAATATTTTGAAAAAATTGGTTAAAGACTTGCATATCTTCAAATATCAAAAGAACAAATCACGGAAGCCTTTAAAATCAGCCCTGCAGACACAGCTGTACTTACATATACATTTAAAGTGTAGTTTTGTCCAAAACACTCATGATTTTCAATGACCAGTTCACATGATTTTTATCACACCTTTTACGCCAATTTGTTTCGGGTGATAATTGAGACTCATTATTTTCAATTGAAATTAATAATGCATAGTACTCATCCATATGAACATATCTAATGGCAATTTCTAAAGCTTTTTCAATGTCCGCAATTTTGAAGATCCAGCGGGACAAACGGGGCTCTTATCACTCCTTGTCACTTTAATCTCAAGAAGATATTCAGTTTGTGTATTGAGTTCGTTTGATCAACTGACGGGGTTGTATGTTATCTCGAATAATAGGGAAGTAGAAACATTTCATTTGTATTTTTGTATACGCCGTTGTTCAAACTGTAAATATATTTGCGAGGGCGTGAACGATCTCTATGGTGAACCCCTATACGGGTTTTCCAGATTGGTAACGCACTGAGCCATTGTTGTGTCAGAGTGAGTGAGTGAATATGGTTTTACGCCGCTTTTAGCAATATTCCAGCAAAATCACGACGGGGGACACCAGAAATGGGCTTCACACATTGTACCCATGTCGGGAATCGAACCCGGGTCTTCGGCGTGACGAGCGAACGCTTGTTGTATCAGAAACTATCACCTGCATTTACATGTACAGTAAACTACGGTTATAACGAACACGCTTATAACGAACTGACGGATATAACGAACTTACTTTTTTGGTCCCGACTATTTGCTGTAGTTATGCTGTATATATGCTTATAACGAACTACGGTTATAACGAACTAAAATTAGTAGTCCCTTGGAGTTCGTTATAACCGTACTTTACTGTACTTTCTTCTCTCACCCGTGGTTTCCGAGGAGGAATATAGTCCCCAACAGCCTTTGCTTTTCCCGAGAGGCGGGACTGCTTCCGTGCTCTAGTAGATAGGCGTGTGCCTGGAGAGCAAAAGGTCGGTGGTTCGATCCCCGGCCGCGTCATACTGAATGAATTAACAGATGGTACTTGTTACTCTTCTTGACCCTCAAAATTGAGGGTCTAAAACAAGGACTGGTCGGTTCGGAGCAGTGTGCTGAGTGGGGTATCCATGTTAAACTGCAGCGGGGTATTTCAGTGGGCTAGCACTATACAGCCGATATTAGTCCGGACAAGTACAGACAGCCACACACACGCGCGCGCGCGCGAGCCACACACCCACACACACACACACACACACACACACACACACCGCTCTATAGAACGTTACGCTTAAACCCCATTTCACGTCACTTCACCTTAAAAGGCGGCTTAATGGATCGGGTGGTCAGGCACAGTGTACAGAACTAACGTTATTTTCTATCATGTATCATACATCAAGCATAATAAAGTAGTTTCGTTTCAAATGTATGTGACTTATTTTTATGTTTAAAAGACACATAATGTCAGTAATCCATCTAATCATTACTTTCAAAAATGTTTTGGCGACTTGGGTATCATTTTTGCCATCCATCACACAGAAACTTGTTTGTTGGTGTTGTCGTTATCATTTGCAGATTAAAACATATAAATCCTTTATAGAGGGTTTGGTTCATCCTGGCAGTCAGGCTGGTTAGGCTCATCATCAGCTCAGGGCCCGTCTACACGCAGCCCAGACGGCGAATGGGACTTCTCCCAGGAAGCACTGCCTAGTCAAACCCACCCAAAAGAATGTGAAGACTCACAGACACTGCAGCCTTCACCATTACCCAGATTGTCAGAAGGGCTGTATTCCTGGTAGCAAACCCGGGTACTCTCCCGATGTCAGTCAACAGATTTGGAGGTACCAAACCTAAAGCATCGAGAGCAATGGGGAGTCGGACAACTTGGTGTTTGGGATGCAAGCGTGACATCTCGAAAGCGAGGTCTGCATATTTGCCATGTTTTTCCTTAATCTTGTCAATCACATTTCTGTCGAAAGGGACTGAAAATTCAATGATATAAATAAATGATTTCATTGGATTTATCAAAAAGGAAAAGATCAGGTTTGTTGGCCTGGATATGTCCGAGGCTGTATACGGGCATATTCCAAAGGATTTTGGATTCATCATTTACCATGACGCCCTCCGGGTCGTACCATGGAAGGACCTATTTGTCAAAACCACAAGCATAGCGAAGACGGTAATAAAATGATCGAGCCCACCTATCATGTCGCTTAAGATACTGTGTCTGTGCCAAAGCTGGGCATCCACTGACAATGTGTTAGACAGTCCCATTAAATTCATTACATAATCTACATTTCATATTCACATTTTAATGCAAAAACACGCACTCACGGAAGTGGCTGGGCTTGAACAGCAAACAGAAAGCCTTCTGTTTCACTTTTCAGGACAGACGATTTCATCCAAGTGAAGAACAGCAGGATTACTGATGTTCTCAACACACTGCACATAAACTCGATGCAGTGGTCGTTCAGACAACCTCTAGAGTCTGGGCTGATTTGATATGGCACTTCGCTTGGTTGACACTCATTTCTGTACCGTCCAGCAGTAAAGAACCATCAACAAAATTAACACTGACATTGAGATTATGTACCTCATCCTTGGCTCGTTTTAGAAAACTGTGGAATGCCTTGTTTTCATTATGAGTCTTGACATGCTTCACAAGAGGATCATCAGACAAATAAATGTGTGCAAAAGTGCACAAAACAATTCTATCATGAAGAGCCTCCGCATTAATCAAACCACGCCCTCCCATCATAATTTGTAAATATAAGTGAGTGAGTGAGTGAGTTTGGTTTAACGCCGCTTTTAACAGTATTCCAGTTATATCGCGGCGTGTCAGCTTAATGTGGGAGGAAAGCCCGAAGTGATGCAGGTCACAGACGTTTACCACTTCGGTGAAACTCACGGGCACGGATATGGTGCTGACGAACCTAGAAACATAATTGGGGCGAACCGGGATTCGAACCCACAATCATAGATTTCTGGCGTGCCCAAGGGACGCAACTCTGCACAGCGAATCGCGGCGCCTTAGACGACTGGGCCACCCGTGCCCCCTGTAAATATAAGCGATTGAGGGAAGAGCGAGGGTGGTGGGATCTATTGTCTGACATGATTCTTCGTGTGAGGGTGTCAATACCCTGAATTTCTTGTTTCGTCCAATCAACAACACCAGAAGAATACGAAAGGACAGGCACAGCAAAAGTATTTGTGGCTTTTTATTATTATTATTAATTTTTTTTCATCATTATTATAGAATTAGCAGTAGTTGTAGTAATCGTCGTAGAAGTAGTAGTTGTAGACAAATAAATGTGTGCAAAAGTACACAGTACAATTCTATCATGAAGAGCCTCCACGTTTGTCAAACCACACCCTCTCATTATAATTATGATAATAATAATTATTATTAAAACAGAGGATGGTCACATTATACTTCACAGGGAAACTAGGCTCCGGTCAAATTTCCCTGATAGTTTAATGCGATTTGTAATGATATATTATCTTTTGACTTTCAGTATCAATTTGATTTAAATGTATATGCATGGACTTATCTGTAAACACGGGGTACATGTCATAGTCATAACGTTTTTTATCATGGCTAGACTTCCTTGTGGAAACTGGATATTTTAGTTTATGGGTGGAACAGCTGACATGCCGATTAACTGTGGGTTAAGGAAGCAGCTTCACACTTGGCATAGGGCAACGCAATTATTACTCAATGGATCAGTGTGTACGCAACTTACATTCTCAGCTTCCTGGGGAGCATACAGCCCAAGCTGCGTTTTAGGGGTTAGGCATTGCGTTCACATTGCTGTCTCATCCTAACTGGTACCCATTCGCTGCAGGGTGAACGGAGGCATATTTCGAACAAAGTTACTTACACAAGGCGACCCGTGAAGATCCGGGGTAGAATAAGTCTTTAGCAACCCATGCTAGTCATAAAAGGCGTCTATGCTTGTCGTAAGAAGCGACTAAGAGAATCGGGTGGTCAGGCTCGCTGACTCGGTTGATGCATGTTATTGTGTCCCAATTGGGCGGATCGATGCTCATGACACCAATCATGCCACGCCTGTCCGAAAATGAGCGTCTGCGAGCCATTGGTATGCTTGAAGCAGGATCGAGCCAACGTGATGTTGCAAGACAATTTAACGTCCACAGAAACACCGTTTGGTGTTTATGGCAACGTTGGCAACAGACGAATGCAGTTGCAGGCAAAGACAAGACATGACAACTGGATTCGAACAAAACACCTACGAAATCGATTCCAGCCAGCAACAGTGACTGCAAGAAGCATCCATGGCATTCGACGAATATCTTCACAAACCGTACGTCGTCGCCTCAGATGTGCAGGGATTGTCGCCAGAAGACCCGTCAGACGTCCCATTTTGACAGGAAACCACCGTCAAGCACGTCTGCAGTGGTGCAGACAGCGTCTACGCTGGACGGCATTGCAGTGGGGACAAGTTCTATTCATTGACGAGTCTCGTTTTCACCTCAGTCACCGCGATGGACGGATTCGAGTGTACCGACGTCGAGGTGAACGTTACGTCAAACATTGTGTCATGAAAGAAGATCGGTTCGGGGGAGGCAGCGTTATGGTATGGGGTAGGACTACATAAAGATAGAGGAGCCGTTTGATAGTGGTAGAGGGAAATCTGAATGGACAGCACTACCGCGACGAGATCATCGGCCCTGTTGTTCTACCGTTTTTGCGTCGTCATGGCCCAGGCATTACCTTTCAACATGACAACGCCCGGCTTCATATTGCTCGACTTGTCCAGGATTCTCTTCAACAAAACAACGTGAATGTCATCCCCTGGCCGGCTCGCTCCCCTGATCTCTCACCAATCGAGAGGGGACGAGATGGATCGGCGCCTTCGACGTCAACCACGTGTTCCACAGACATTCCAGGAACTTCGAAACATGCTCCAGCAGATATGGACAGATATCCCACAGGACTTTGTGCGACGCCTGGTCCATTCCATGAGACGAAGATGTGTTGCTTGAATCGCAACCAGAGGTGGACACACACGCTATTGATTTGTAAACTGACATTTTGGCATGTTCATGGTTTTTTTTTATGAAATCACGCATTTTCTGAAGTCAGTATGGCAAATTAAACCATTTAAACCCTTACAGGAGTCTATTATCTGTTGCAAACCGAAATCATTTCAGATTTGGTAAACAACATAACTTTGCATTTAATCTTATTCAATGTCACAGGAACTTCTGTTGTTCAGTATAAATAAAAAATCTGGAACTCTTAATTACTAGGCCGCCTCCGGGGAGCGGAAGGTTGGTGATACGATCCCCTGCCCGCGTCATGCAAAATCAACTTGTTGCTACCCTGCCTTGCGCTTGGCGTTAAGACGATATATTCGGTATACCGCATAAGGTGTCCATGTTAAACTGCGTCGTGGTATCTCAGTGGGCTAGCACTTTTAAACCAACATTATTCCATAGTATTAGAAGCACATACGCACATACAATCTTATCAACGTCAAACCATATTTCTCGGATTTCCCGGATTTGGAAATTGTGTAAATCCAAATGCCCGAGGATACCATGCAATTTAAACCTAATGAGTGGCGCGTATATACTGGCCAATGTATTTTGTTTCAATACGAAGCTGAACTGTTGCAGGGGGCACGGGTGGCCCAGTCGTCTAAGGCGCCGCGATTCGCTGTGTAGAGTTGCCTCCCTTGGGCACGCCAGAAACCTATGATTGTGGGTTCGAATTCCGGTTCGCCCCGATGATGTTTCTAGGTTTGTCAGCACCATACCCGTGCTCGTGTGTTTCACCGAAGTGGTAAACGTCTGAGACCTGCATCACTTCGGGCTATCCTCCAACATTAAGCTGTCACGCCGCGATATAACTGGAAACCAACCCAACCCACTCACTGAACTGTTGCAGCTTCTGATAAAATTACACAGGAAATAATTCCTTTTTTAAAATTTCAGGGAAATATTTTGACGGGTTGATTGTTACATTTCAGTCCATCGCGGTACATGGGCAAACTGTATACATCCGCATAGCAAGAGACTTGCTCATGTCAATGTAGTTACACACGATGACAAACTGCGTTTCACTGACCAAGAACCACGTGGGCATGCCGAGATATTGGTATCCTATGCTGGTCGTTAGGGGCGATTTTATGAATCAGGTGGTCAGACTCGGTGACTTGGTTGATAGCGTGCCATTGTTAGATTGTTGTTTAACGTCGCACTCAGCAATATTCCAGATATGTGACGGCGGTCTGTAAAATAATCGAATCTGGACCAGACAATCCAGTGATTGATATCATGAGCATCGATCCACGCAATTGGAATCGATGACATGCATCAACCAAGTCAGCGAGCCTGACCACCCTATCACCCTTACGACAAGCATAGTCGCCTTTTACGGCAAGCATGGGTTGCTGAAGAC